ACACACACACACACACACACACACACACACACACACACACACACACACACAAACCCACAAACACACACACACACACACACGCCCACTTGCTTATCACACGCGCACGCTTACACATCGTTACGAAATGAGCACATACAAATTCACATAATAAAACTTTATACACAATGCAATTCGCAAAATACATAAATGGATACATAGTCATTTACATAACAATGTATCGAACATAAATCTACTGACATAAAAATGATGTCATTTAATAATAATAGACCAATGGTCGCTTTTAAGCAAAAGGGGGCTATCCCGAAAAATGCTGTTTTGAGAAAATTTAAGGTAAAGTTCAGTTTCTTTAGAAGTAAAGACAAGGAGAGTTTTTTCTCTAACCAAACATATATATACACACCAATGAAACCAAACTTCTCCTATAGGTAGAGCAATGCCCACTTTTGGTGTAGGTCAAGATTTCTGGAAACCCCCGAAATCTGGGTTAGCCCCCTTGTCCTTAAAAGCCACCAAATAACAATATACACTCTGTATGTGCCTTGTTTGCAGGCAAGTGACCCCACTCTACACTACCTCACAATGGGCACCAAGTCGTCACCTCGGACATGTCCCTGGACTCCTGCATTGTTCCTGGCAGTTTTCCTGATGGTGAGTACTAGACAGGTTTCATTCAACCTGACAGACGATTGAAATGTCTGCAGACAGGTTTCATTCAACCTGACAGACGATTGAAATGTCTGCAGACAGGTTTCATTCAACCTGACAGACGATTGAAATGTCTGCAGACAGGTTTCATTCAACATGACCGACGATTGAAATGTCTGCAGACAGGTTTCATTCAACATGACAGACGATTGAAATGTCTGCAGACAGGTTTCATTCAACATGACCGACGATTGAAATGTCTGCAGACAGGTTTCATTCAACATGACCGACGATTGAAATGTCTGCAGACAGGTTTCATTCAACATGACAGACGATTGAAATGTCTGCAGACAGGTTTCATTCAACCTGACAGACGATTGAAATGTCTGCAGACAGGTTTCATTCAACATGACCGACGATTGAAATGTCTGCAGACAGGTTTCATTCAACCTGACAGACGATTGAAATGTCTGCAGACAGGTTTCATTCAACCTGACAGACGATTGAAATGTCTGCAGACAGGTTTCATTCAACATGACCGACGATTGAAATGTCTGCAGACAGGTTTCATTCAACATGACAGACGATTGAAATGTCTGCAGACAGGTTTCATTCAACCTGACAGACGATTGAAATGTCTGCAGACAGGTTTCATTCAACATGACCGACGATTGAAATGTCTGCAGACAGGTTTCATTCAACATGACCGACGATTGAAATGTCTGCAGACAGGTTTCATTCAACATGACAGACGATTGAAATGTCTGCAGACAGGTTTCATTCAACATGACAGACGATTGAAATGTCTGCAGACAGGTTTCATTCAACATGACCGACGATTGAAATGTTGGCAGAAGTGGTAGTGTGTGAAGTAGCTGCAGTAGCAAAAGCGTCGTGCAATAGAATCATCATCATCATTGTCCCCTTCGTCCTCCTCCTCCCCCTCCTCCTCCTCCTCCTCTTCCTCATCATCATCATCATCATCATCATCATCATCATCATCATCATCATCATCATCATAAGCTGCTGTTGTAGCTATGGTATGGGTCGTGCATCTATAAAAGAAAAGGGCCTTTTCAGATTAAATTTACTTTTGTATTCCTTGTGAGATGGGACATGGAATTTTAAAGTAAAGATACATTTATTATTTTTTTGGTGTCTTTTCATGTAATACTTTTTCGAAGTTTTAACTTGCAGCATAATGGCGAAGATACTTTGGATAAATAAATAAATAAATAAATAAATAAATAAATAAATACTTAAAAATAATAATAAATAAATAAATAAATTCATAAATTTTAAAATAAATACATAAATAAATAAATAAATAAATAAATAAATAAATACATAAACAAATAAATAAATAAATAAATAGATAAATAAATAGCATTTATATAGCGCATACCCCCGCTCAAAAACAAGCTCAATCGATTTACACTATTATTATTATTATTACCCCAGCAGACCATAGAACACTCAGAAACATTCTCAGCTTCCCGTGAAGCATAATACAATGCGAGCAGCTGATTAAGCGCTCAAACACTAACAAACTGACAAGATCTTTCGCTGTCTATAGCCGGGTACCCATTCCCATCCGGGTACCCATTCCCATCTGGGTGAAGTGAGGAACATTCGTGTAATGTGGTGCCTTTCTCAAGGACACAACGTCGGGCCCCTAACGGGATTCGAACCCACGACCTTACGGTTACGAGTGTCAGTCTCAAAAGGTCCTTTGTTTGCCTTATGAACTGTAACAAAAATGTGCGTACTTACAGCACATCCTACTTTTTTTTTTATAAACCCGTAAGTAAACATTAACTGTCGGGGGAGGGGGAGGGGGGGGGGGGGTTGGCGGGTGCTCTGGTGTAGTTTGCTCCTTCTTTCCTATCCAACATCTGTCGTCCCTATAAAAATTATCTCCCCTCCTTGTTGTGTTTGTTACTGTCTTGTAACACCTCTAATCTCCGGCACTTATGTTATTATGACCCATTGTATTGCTAGTGCTAAAGAACTAAAACCAGATTAAACATTAGGGGGCTCTCGTGGCCTGGAGGTTAAGGTGTTCGCCTCTCATCCAAAGGTCCCGGGTTTGAATTCGGGTAGCGAGCGAAACATTTTTTTCGCTAAAAATTGTCTCCTTTCACCTCCTTTCCTGCTCTCTAACAATGTTTTGTCGTCTGCTTTCGTCCCCACTTTCTGCCCCCACCCCATCACCTCATTTGCCCCCTCCTCTGGGCTCCTGACTCTTTTTGCAGCCTTTCTACTGCTACTCCTTGGCTCCTCCTTACTGCTGTCTTTCTGCCACACCCCTGATCTTCTGGTAGGAAAGATCTACACCTAGCCTTCTCGGACAAGGGCGGAAAATCTCGGAAGTTCCGTATGCAAGTTGCGCACGTTAAAGATCCCTTGGTGGTCTAAAATCGATAAGAGTAGACTTTGGCCGCCATTCGGGCAAAATTCAAAATTTCCTACCAATTGAAAATGTTTGGTGTGTCCCATGCTCTCATATATGACTATTATGCTGTTGCAAGCGCCGTAAAACACTTACAAGGAACTGTCCCCGTGGTTTTATGCACCCCGCATAATTTAACAATATTTGATCTTTTTTTTGCCCAATTTCTGATTATTTTGCTTTATTATTCTTTGTTAAAATTAACAGAATCGCATAATTTCACATTTTTGGGCTCAGTTTGTATAATTTTGTAAAAAAAAATGTTCATAAAAACAATGGGAACAGAAGGAGAAAAAATTAAAAAGTAACCTGGTCGTCCCATGATGTGACCTACTTGTGTGGAGAGTGGAGATCTCGTGGCTGTGTTTTGGTGACCGTCTTCACGAATGTTACTGGCAATAAATTACCATAATGCCCCCCCCCCCCCCCCCCCCGTGCGAATTTTTAAACTGACTCATGGGAAAGGAATACTGTAAATTTAGCTTGCTTTAGTTTCAGTGAAGAGTTTTGGCGCTTGCAACTGCATAAGGTCATTAGAGGGGTTACAATTAATTAGAGTGTAACAAACATAGAAAAAAGAAAAAGGGGAGACAAGGGCGACAGATGTTTGATAGGAAAGAAAGAGCAAACCACACCAGAGCACCTGCCAACCGCCCACAGTAAATTAATGAGTTTAACGGCACTTGCAACACAAATAAATGTAGATCTTCTAATAATAAAATAGTTTCTGGAGAATAGAGGTTTAAAAAAAACAACAGCGACATACAAATAAAAAGGGGGAGGGGGCCGGTTTATGAGGACGATAGATTTTTAACGAAATGAAGGAGAAATCACACCAGAGTAGTAGTAGTAGTATATTTGCTTTTTTTTTTTAGTAGGTTGTAGTAGATAGTAGTAGTAGCAGCTATCATATGACACAATAGCCAGTAGACGTTGCTCTATTTAGTAATTGGTTCTTGATGTAATAGACTTCTCTCTGCCGCCGCATTTGTAAGATTTACTTGTAGCAGTTCCAATATTAATACACACGCCGAGTGTCGTACACACAAGCAGCTCAACAGTGTGTACGTACCATGTGTGA